AAAGAGTGGATGTCGGCCTCTCGACAGCAGGTGTGCGATGAACTCTCGAGGGCAGAGTCCTTTCTCGCGGGCGAAAGGAAAGACAGAGCAGGGACGGCCGTTCCTTCCCTTGGGATAAAGAGGGTGTTAAGTTCTAGGGGGTGCGGGGTTGTTGTGACGGCGCGCCTCTACACCGGTCTTCGACTCTTGGCGATCTATCATCCCTTTCTTTCGGCGTGTTTCATTTTCGCCACTTTTGACATCGCCAAAAATAGTCGGAAATCGGACGTGCTAGCAGATTGGACAGATCGAACTTGTGCGAAAGAAAGAGGGGAAGAAAAATCTTTACTTGAGAAATTTGAAAAGTCTAGATACTTCGAGACGCAAAAACGCAGCGAGTTTTATTTTCCAAAACATCGATCAGGAAATGAAAAATTCGTGAAGCATCTCGTAAAAAGTGATCACCTTAAATAAGACCGATTAGATATTTTTATAGCGCGCTATCGGCAAGCTGTAAAGTGCACCGATCAGCGAAATGCTAATTGATAAATGGCAGAATGTTATCAGAGGATTATGTTGACGGCAACGTCGGGACGGGACGTATAGTCCCGGCGCGTGTGTCGCCGGCAAACAACACGTCTGTTTCTGAACGAGACGAAGTTCGATACGCGATTATTATGACCCGCGGTGAGCCTTGAACTTGCCCTACGATAAGCGAAGCCGTTTTATGAGCCGTTGTTGCTGCGCGCCTCGCTTTCTCGAAAGGCATTCGCCAATAATCACTGAGGCGATATATACATACCACATAACATTCGTGGATCGCTAATCAGATTAGAACAATCGCGGTACTTTTTTTTTTATTAAATTGTGATTTACATTATGTCGCTTAATTAAATGTATTAATTATTTTTAAAAAAAATTAATTTTAATTTAAGCAGTGTGTGTGTGTGTTTTACTCTTATATTATTAATATTAAAAAAAGCACACATTATCTATAAGAAAGATTTAGATCTTTGAAAACGAGATGAGATGACATATTTACATTTCCTGTCCGGTATATGGATATAGTAATTCAAATTAACTTAAAGTCGATCAAACGCGAGATTGCAGGTAGTTCGACGCCATCTCTAGTTGCGGTAGCAGCTGAACAGTTAACCCACCAACCCCCTATTCAATGTCGCTACAATAATAAACCACCTCGGTTATCTGTATTTCTGTATTTCCCTCAGGGATTCTCGGCACATTCAGGCATCGAGGCCAAGTTCAGGCTATATATATCGTTCTATAACGGCGTTTTGTCTGTGCATTTATACCATCTTGTACCATTACGATTATATGTCGCGCGTGTCTATCGTGATATTAAAATACTTTCTTTTTAAAGTAAAAAATATTTTTTTGCATTACATTTTATTTTGCTTTTTATTAATTCTATCGCATTTTTATTAATGTACAGAATAAACTCTTTGCAGAGTTAAATAAAACATATTTTATAAAACGTGATAAAATATATATATATTAATAAAAGCGATAAGATTAATAAGAAATAAAATAAAGATTAATGAAGAAAAGATTCTTTGTTGGTCAAAAAACCGAGTATATGTTTCATTCAATGATTCATTATATAAAACATGCATTAGATGCTTATAAACTTGTAGACAAGAAAAATTATAAATCATAGAAAATTATTTCACTCATCCCGCGCTATTCATTTTAAAATACTTTACGATAATAAAAAATATGCACTTTAAAGTTATACATATAAGAAAAGAAACATTTAGATAAATGCCGCAATATATGAATCGATTGTGCGATTATGAATTCGAGATTCAATGATCTACTCACCTTCTTCTCCGTGAGTTTCTCGCATCTCCTCATCTTGCAGATCTGATGGCTCTTGTCGTTTCTGCACGGCGCACAGTCCCCGCAGTTGTCTTTACGCTGACAGCCTATGCACTCTCCGCATCTCTTTCGCTTCTTCTTCGCCGGCTTGTCCCCGAGACCGCCGTCACCGTCGCCATCGGTCATACCACCACCGAGATGATGCACGCCGCGATTCGCTGTAGAGGACACAGCGGCGACCTGGCCGGAACTCTCCACGTTGCCGGTACCAGCGCCGCTACCGCCGCTGCCGCCATTGCCACCGCCATCTTCCGATTCCATGGAACCCGCGCGGATTTTTCTGCGCTCCTTCTTACGGCCGTCGATGCCGATCGGTCGCGAGGTCGGCGATGAGTCCAGCACGGTCGACATCGGATTTTGAAAATTTGCATGGTGCAGTTGCGGATACTCGGGCTTTACTACGGTCAGCACCGTGTGATGAGGGTGACCCGGCGGTGGCGGAAACGCTTGGACCGGACTGGAGCCCAACAGCTGTATATGACGCTCGTCGAGTAACTGCTGCTGTAGCGCCGGGACCTCCCGAGCCTGTACCGGCGCCGGTACCAGGGGATAACCAACCGATCCGCGATGCGGATGCGGTGCCGGAAGTGGTGTTCCGAGCGTGTGGAAGCTCGGCAAGCCTACGGCCGATGTAACCGGCGGCGAGTGCGAGATGGACGCCGGTGATAGTGGTGTCAACGCCGTCAATTGCGGCTCGGCTTCGCTCGGGGCGGTGAATTGACTGGCGAAGCTGGGCAGACCTTCTATACCGCCGCCCTTAGATTCCCATGGTCGATATTGGCTCGGCACAATCACCTCGCCGCGGGAGTCTATCAGCCGTCCGGTCAGGCCCTCGTAGTAGTCCCAGGATGGCATCAGGCCCGGGCCGACGTCCTGGGAGTGGAGAGTCGTCAGCGTCGTTGAGGTGTCCATCGTATTGTCGCCGGCGAAGCTGCTGAAGGGCGGTAGATGCCGCGCGGACAGGTCGCCGGCGCAGACCGTGCCCGGTGAGGTCGCGACCGCCGCCGGAGGGCTCGTCGGGACCCTCTCGGTGGCGACGACCTCCTTCGTCACCTCGGCGCTCATCTTCTTCCCCGCCACGTCATCGCGACCTTAACGTCCGTCCCCCGTTCGGCGAGTCTCGCCACTTGACGGTGGTAACGCTTTTCTTTTCTTTTTTTTTTTTTTTTTTTTTTTTTTTCGTTCAGAACGTATCGGAAACGGTGGAGAGAAGTTTTAAATTGGTGCAGTGTTTTATGCGCGTTCCAATATATCCCGCCATGTTCTCTCGAATCTGAGACATGCATTTTTATATAGTGAGAATAGCTCTCTCTCTATTATACTGTAAATAATCTGTCTCAATGAAGATTTCTTTCGCATTTTTTAAATTGCAACGATTTTTTCCGCATTTTTTTTTTTTTTTTTTTTTTTTTAATCTTCTCGGGATCGCGCGAGCGATACTCCCTCTCTCGCGTTCCAGTACCGACTTTCCTCGACGATGCACACTTGTTCCGGAGATGTACGTGGGCTCGAGATTATCTAGTCTTTTTCGAGCGAATGATCAATGAAATTCTTGCACGCGACATTGACGCTTTTTTCGCGACTAGTCGCACTTCGATTCTCGTTAATGTGTCGAGCTGGATCTTAAAGATCCGACTTAGAAACGGCGTAATGTCGTTTGTGGATTGACATACGCACGTATCTGCACAACTCTCGTCTTGAAGTAAATTCTTCAACTTCGATTTAGCGCGAGTGGCTATTCCGTATATTTTGCACGTAGTCTTCTTTGTTGATTCTTCAATATTACGCTCGCTCTCTCGCTTTCGTCTTTTTTTTTTTTTTTTTTTTTTTTTTTTTTTCAATTTTTTCTCTTTCGATTTTTGTGAAGCGGGTTCCACATAGA